ATAACTGATTGAGAAACCCAACTGACTGTGTGAAAGTTTTATAAGTTTTCTTATGCTAAGCTACAAGATTTCAGCCATACCAACGGGAACATACACCCCTTTGTTAATTGTGCAATAGAGAGAATGTAGACAGCCAGAGTTTGCCATGCAGAGTGGGGTGAATGTGCTCCAGTTGAAACACCCTCTTGTACGCCATTGCAGAAGGAGCTAAATAAGACTCCAGCCATCTACTCAGCAGCTGGTCATTGCCAGGAAATCGAATTGGTGAACATACCAGGAAATGTATGCATCAGAAAGTGTTTATTAATATTATTCTGTAGTTTGACCACAAAAAAACAGTACAAGAAAAGGAGGAGGCCAGATCAGAAAAGCCACAGAAATGAGATTTTGAAGAGGATGGATGAAAATGGGTCTTGCAGTTTTCAAGATCAAGGAGGAGATCATTTTCTTAGAAGGAGGGATGTCCGCCGATCCAGTCTCCCAGCAGGCATCCCCAGGTGCAAAAAGCTTCTTCACAGTTCGTACTTGCAGATGTAGGCGTTCCGTTTATTGCACTTAGTATCGTTCCACTGTCTTAAACCTAAAATATGAAAGACATGCGCAACATTACTGCTTCTTGCTTTCTCTTTTCTGCCCAAGTGTGTGTGGTTTAGAGGGGAGAGGAAATGGAAGAAGTCACAGAAGGGAAGGCAAGGGAAGGGAAGGGAAGGGAAGGGAAGGGGAAGGAAGGAAGGAAGGAAGGAAGGAATTGAAAGTCCAGATTTACTGCCATTTTCTGAGCTCATTTTTAAAAGATATTCAATGCTACCTTAATTTTCCTCTGCTCTAGCATATCAATTTTTGATATGAATATTGCACTAAAAGAAATAAAATCATGGATGGATGAGGAACCCATCGTTTGAAGGTGCCAACAGGAAAGCTCAGTGAGTTAGGTATCTGGCTGTGGAGCCAGAGGTTGGGAATTCTTCATTGGACATCCCAGAACATCCAGCCTGTGGTGGCCATCGACCAGCTGCACAGTTCGAGGATGCCCTCAGAAGGAGGGAACTGGAAACCATTTTTGAATGCTCTCTATGTAGAAAACCTTGAAGAGGGTTGAGATCAGTCAGAACTGACTTGATGCCACATGATTAATATTTATCATTAGGATCAGAAGGGACTCCAAGGATCATCAGATCCCTGCAGGAACAGGATATCCACTGCTAAAGCAACCCTGATAGGTGGCCCTCCAACCACTGCTAAAAGCCTTCTAAAGAAAGAGAATCCACAGCATTCTCTTAGAACAGAAATGCCCCAAGTACTTTGAAAACTAACGCTTTTCAAAACAAGTGATGTACGCATTAGGCAGCTCACAGGTAATTATACCACACAGCTATCCTAGAGCATGATCATCCCACCTCATCGTCTTATTCTTTCCCTTTATTTGCCACCTTTGTTCATATGAGCACAAGTTAACCTTCCTGTCTCTTCTTCTCCCGTATTATCCTTCCAACAGTCGTGGGATGGCAGTCCAGCTGAGAGAAAGTGAATGTCTTGAAATCACCTAGTGGAGTTTCTCAGTTCAATGTGGGAAGTACCACCTTGGCCTCCCAGATTCCAGTCTAAGGTTGCCACCTCTGATATCCCATTGGGTGTCAGAAGTCCTGGTCTATGTCAGAGGGAGCTGAAACTAGCTGAGGAAAGATAGGAAGTCGTGGAGGACCACTTGCTCCTGAGATGTTGCCTTTTCTTAGCCACCCAGATTACTTACGTGTGGAACCTGTCAGCTCCACGCAGAACTCATTGTTATCGTCGTTGTTTGGCTCACCCTTCATCCAGGCCTTGTAGTTGTAGACCGACTCATCAGCCCATCTCCATCTCCTATTCTGTGGAAGTGAAACGATCAATAATTGTGTTAAGGGAAAGATTGGCTGGAGAGGTTGTTGATTGGGGAGTTGTGACCAATTGTGGTAGAGATGGGTTGGTTTACTCTTGTGCAAAGCAAGGGTGAAGCAGGTGGGATTTCAAGGGGTTTTTCGTTGTTTTTGGTTTTTTGAGTGTGAGGAATTTGTATACCCTCACTCATAGACAGGATGGAGAAATCTAGCTTTGCTCTTCCTAACATTTCTGGGTTCATTCTCCTTCTAATCATCCTTCATCATCTGTGGTCACTCCACCCTTCAGGCCAGACCTTGGTTCTCAAGGCTCCCAGCTACATGGGTGCCCCCCACTCAAAAAATCTTGGGTCTCTCTCTATATATATATACTTGCCATCCTCCATGTCCTTGAAAGATGATAGAACTGGGGACAGAGGTAAATGGGGCTAGGACTCTCCCCTTTCCCTGCATAGATTCATAACACCTGAGTAGAACCTGATAGATTACTGTATTGAGTTAAGGCCAGATCGAAACTTTACTAAGATCCATTCAGAGATGATTCTGTGGAGTGGAGGAAGTCATTCATGGATTTATAACATCTGAGGAGAGCCAGAAAGATGATTGAATGAAGGCCACATCTTCAGATGATTAGCTGGAGTGGAGGAAGGGAAAGAGGCTCACCTGACGGACATCACGGAGCCCAATCCAGACATTTAATGGTTGTTTCTGGTAAGTGGCGATGTGTTCAGCCACCAGAACGGTCTCTGCCTCTGTAAGGACAGAGGCAAGGTGGGCTCCTCGCCCATAGCTCTGGCACTCAATCTGAATGAGGAAAGAGGGGAAGTTATTTTGGGATGTTGTTATAGAGCGAACAGAGTTGATGCAGAAAGAATTTTCCTAAATTTGGGTCTTGATGGATTATTACAAGATAATGTTACATCCGGACCTTCCACATGTTTTTAAAAGTATTTTCTTACAATCCTAGATCCAAGAGCAGTTATTTCTGCATATTCATTTATTTTTATTTACTGGCATGCTGCCTCTCCCTCAGAACTGGGACCCAAAGCAGCTCACAACACAAATACACAAGAAACAATTGAGGTAATATACACTTAAGGTACAAATATTAAAACAGAATTAAACTGAATTATCGTCTTAGAACACATACAAAGTTAAAACCCTTTCAAATAGATTAAATAAAATAGTAATGCTAATTGCAATAGTAGAACATTTTCATTAGAAAGGCTGAGAAAAAAAATACAGGAAGGCATTGGGAAGCTGAACATCGGCAAGGAAATTTTGTTCTGAGGGATTTCCTTGAGAATTTCGTGTTCATTTCAGCTTGAGTTCTGTAAACCAGGCCACCTTTGTTCCACCCACACCACAAAACACGATTTCTCTGCTCCTGGAGCCTTGAACCTCATCTGCCCATCATGCATTAACATCAAGGCTGGGATGCTGAGAAAGGCTTCTTACCTCAGCCTCTTGCCATGTCATTGGATCATCGAAATAGGCATAGCAGTTGCCCTGGTTTTGCATCCAGTCCCTGGCGCAGGACGCGGCCTCAGCTGTGGAGCGGAGAGAGGATGTGGGGAAAAAGAGTGAATGCAAAGTACTGTAGAAGGAAATAAATATAATAATGGGTCATCAAGTTAATTGTGACTTTGATGACTTTTGGTGACTGTTCCCAGGTTTTTCCAGGTATGAAGTACTGAGAAGAGCCCGAAAAACCCACAACAACCATTACTGAGAAGAAGTTTACAAGGGCCTGTTTTAGGGGGCGCTCTGGGAATCAAACTTCCAATCCTCAGTGCTCCAACTCACGGAGCCCTTCAGCCATCCCAGAATCATTCTGAATGTGAGAGCAATCTTTCTTTAAGAAACTCACCTCCCAGGAAAGGATTAGAGAAGATGATTCCAAGAAGGCAAAGAGCAGAACTGGTGAAGAATCCCATCTTCCACTTGACCCTTTTAGGGAAAATGGATGGTTAATTCAAGAGGTACATTCATTGATCGCCATGAATTGGATCTGGCCAAGAATGGAAGAAAAGGTGATGTTTTTAATGGCCTTTACTATCATACTTCTACAATTTTGTTTCCTTATTTGAATTTTAAAAAACTGGGAAGATATAAAGAAAGAAAGAAAATCATGCAGGTTTAAAGCTTTTGTGCTGGCTATTTTTTAAAAAAGGAAAATATGAAAAATACCAGGTTGGAGAAGAATGGTTTAAATGTCGGGTTAGGGTCCAAGGGCTTCTTTAAAGTCTCCCTCCTCAAGATCTGCAAGTTGCCATTCTGGAGAGGAAAAATTATAGGACAGAAATACAGAGAGAGACAGGTGAGAGGAACCACAGGCTTTAGTTAACTGGAGCTAAGCAGGGCTGCTGAGAACAAGACATTTGGAGATTGTTGTTGTGGGTTTTTCGGGCTCTTTGGCCGTGTTCTGAAGGTTGTTCTTTGTGACGTTTCGCCAGTCTCTGTGGCCGGCATCTTTATGGTTATACACAGGGTTGCCATGCATCGGGAGCAACATGATGGCATGCAACAATCGCAAGGGGGGGGGAGGAACTATCACATCCACCACCCAAATGAGCAGGTCAAAGATCCCTCAAGTTGAGGGTGAGGACACATACAATGACATTGGGACCTTCTTCTAGACCAGGGGTGGGCAACGTTGGTTCTAGTCAGTAATATCATGACCAGAGCAGAATATACTGTAGAGGAAAGAGCACTCTACCTCCTGCCATCTATGGAATACAAATGGTTGGGGAAAGTAAGCAGGGGTGCTTAACCTGACAACTGATTGTGAAATACAACTGACTACATGACCTTAGACCCTCCAGTGAATGCACCTTTGCAGCCAGAAGGTGCTCACTGAGAGAAATGGAGGTACCTGGTTGTGAGGAAAGTCTGAGGAGATGAGGTTAATGAATTACACCTGCTGATTTCTGGGGGGAAAATGTCATTTTTAAAGAGACAAAAGTGGTTCCTCTCACCTGTCTCTCACTGTATTTCTGTCCCAATCTCAAGCCATTTAATGAAACCAAGTTATTACTAAAAAAAATTTTTCTTGGTGAGCCTACGTTAAGAGGATTCATAGAATATAGAAGTTATCGAAATGGACTGGAATAATTTCATGCTTACCCACTCAACCACACAATAGGATGAGATTTTCTTCTGTAGGAATGACGACGGCAATGGTTGTAACAGGGATTTTGTCTCCTGGTCTCCTTTGGTGACGTTGGTTTTGAGAGCTGTATTTATATTCTAGACCTAAATATGCCCAACCCTGGAATACAAAGCCCATGAAGAAAGAGTCAACTTTCCTTATCTTATGTCACCTAAGGACTCTGTATCCCCTTTACCTTTTTTTTATTCTATGCCCTAAAGTGTTTACAAATGTCTGAGAGAGTAATTTTCTCAGTTAGAGTAAATAAGTTTGATTGATTGATTGACTGATTGAAATCCTGCTAGAAATCCTGCTAGCTGGTTTATCACTGTACCGGATAACTGTATTAGACAGCTGGAAGATCAGAAAAGGTGCACCACTCACCTAAACACAAACTGCCCCATGATTGCTGAATGATAAGGAATATAAACAGTGACTCATTAATTACCTTATCCAATCTGCAGATGGCACAACGTTGGGTGGAATAGCTAACGCCCTGGAAGACAGAAGCAATGTTTGAAAAGATTTTGACAGGCTCAAATATTGGACTGAAAACAACTGAATGAATTTTAACAGGAATAAGTACAAACTTCTACTTGTGGGGGTGGGAAACAAACGCACAGTTACACAATGGAGGATACTCAGCTCAGTAACACTACATGCAAGAAAAATCTTGGAATTCTTGTAGATCACGAGCTGAATATGAGTTGACAGTGTCATGTGACTTCAAAAAAAAAGGCAACTGTGATTTTAGGTTGCATTAACAGCATTAGTCTCCAAATTACATCCCAGTTCCCCTCGATTCAGCACTGCTTAGGCCTCATCATGAGTACTGTGTCTGGTTCTGGGCATCAATCACTCTTTAAGAAGGATGCAGAGAAACTGGAACAACTTCACAGGAGGGCACCTAGGATGATCAGGGACTGGATACCAAGCCCTATGAGAAAGACTAAAAGAACTAGCCATCTTTGTCGTTGTTTAGTCGTTTAGTCGTGTCCGACTCTTCGTGACCCCATAGACCAGAGCACTCCAGGCCCTCCTATCTTCCACTGCCTCCCAGAGTTGGGTCAAATTCATGTTGGTTGCTTTGATAACACTGTCCAACCATCCCATCCTCTGTCGTCCCCTTCTCCTCTTACCTTCACACTTTCCTGACATCAAGGTATTTTCCAAGGAGTCTTCCCTTCTCATGAGATGGCCAAAGTATTGGAGCCTCTGCTTCAGGATCTGTCCTTCCAGTGAGCACTCAGGGTTGATTTCCTTTAGAATTGATTGGTTTGTTCTCCTTGCAGTCCAGGGGACTCTCAAGAGCCATCTTTAGCCTTGGGGAAAGAAGACTGAGGGGAGATAGGATAGGACTCTTCAAATATTTGAAAAGTTGTCATACAGAGGAGGGGCAGGATCTGTTCCCAGTTCTTCCAGAGATCAGGAGGACACAGAATAATGGGCTCAACTTGCAGGAAGCCAGATTTCAACTGAACATTAAGAAAAACCTCCTGTTCGAGCAGTATGACAATGGAACCAATTACCTCTGTGGGTGGTGAGCACTCCAGTACTGGAGGCAGACAAGAAAATGTTAGACAACCATCTGTTAGATATACATTGATTTGGATTCCTGCATTGAGCGGGGGGTAGGACCTGATAGCCTTATACACCCCTTCCAACTCCATTATTTTATGATTCTACAGCCAGCCTGCTGCTGTGCTTTATACCATTAGATTTAGATCAAGTAATCAGATTCAGGCCAAGGACTTTCAAAATGACTTGTAATTAACAACATCATATTATAGGGAGGAGGTACATGTTGTTGTTGTTGTTGTTGTTGTTGTTGTTGTTGTTGTTGTTGTTGTTGTTGTTGTTGTTGTTGTGTGCTGTCACATTTGCCTCCAATGTATGATGACCCAATGAGTGAGTGTTCTCCAAAAAGTCGTGTCAGGTCTAACAAACGCAAGACTGTGGCTTCCTTTAGGGCAGCTATTCTTAACAGAGCCCCCCTGGGGTGTCCTGGCACATTTGAAGGGAGCCACAGACTGAAAACAGTTCTTCACATACCACCTTTTAAGGTTTGTTATGTGGCTTATATAATCTTGATCCAGCCTATATTTCGTCCATTTTGTTGTTTATATGTAAAGTTATAGGGTTCCCCTTGACGTTTAGTCCGGTCGTGTCCGACTCTAGGGTGTGGTGCTCATCCCCGTTTCCAAGCCGTAGAGCCAGCGTTTGTCCGTAGACAGTTTCTGTGTTCACATGGCCAGCGCGACTAGACACAGAACGCCGTGACCTTCCCACCAAAGTGGTACCTATTTATTTACCCACATTTTTACATGCTTTCAAAGTGCCAGATTGGCAGGAGCTGGGACAAGCAGCAGAAGCTCACTCCATTGTGTGGATTTGATCTTACGACTGCTGGTCTTCTGACCCTGCAGCACAGAGGCTTCTGCAGTTTAACCCGCAGTGCCATCACATCCCTCTACACTTTGTTGTTCATGGCCATGGCCAAAAAGAAAAAGGTTGAGAATGCCTGCTTTAGGGAGTCCATTCATCTTTTATTTGGTCTTCCCCTTTTCCTGCTGCCTTCAACTTTGCACAGTATTATAGTCTACTACCCCACTGGGGCATCTGTCTTTGTCAGCAGGAAGATGCAATTCATTGTCTGTTCCCTCCCTCTAGA